AGCTTTGTTTCCATCTTCCCTTCAATCATGTAACAAATACTGCTTTCACTGAGAGGGTTTTGAAAGTGGAAAACTTCTTCCTACTTTCAATCTGGCACAACTTATTTTTACTCGTATGACAACGCAGCTTCACTATAGACAATCAACCCATGTTGTTTCTATTTTCTTTGTCCTGTCGCCTCAGAACATATACATTGCATTTTATCAAGTCACCTACAATTTTATTCATTAATAAGGTCCATTCCAATCTTTCAAGTTTTTCTTTATTTTTGCATTTCCTCAAAACATACAATATTTTATTGAATCTGCACTATCCTCATTCATTGCGTCAGCATCCTTACTATATTGGGGAGCCCAAAACATCCACCACACTCTGTGATATTACTAACATTACATACTATCATTTTATGCAGATTCACGATTTAATCTCAACTGTTGTAACCTGTACCTCTTGCCAATACATCCAATATTCCAGGAAGTTTCTTTAATGGCCTTATTGAAGTCTTACTTTTAATGTCTTCAGTATCTGAACCCAAGTCATTTTTTTATGTTACCAGCTCGTCTGCCACTCAAAGAATAACAAGAGGGCACTGAGTACAGCGTGTATCTCCGCTGCTCAGTTTTAACCCAACACTTCTAGAATTATTCAGCTCTTCCTCAAGGCCTTTCCCTGTTTGGTTGATATCCTACAAATACAAAGTTGAAAAAAAGAATTTTTATTAAGAACTTTGATGTCAATAGAGAGGTTTCAGAACAATCCACATCAAACAACCTGCTTCGAAAACTTGGCTCATATTTGACAGCTGTGACAAATTTCAACACAACAGCTTAGGTAATCCAAAACAATCAACATGATTCTAAAACAAAAATCCACAAAGAACAAAAAAAATCAATTTCTCCTGTTTTCTAATATTAACAGATCTTTTAAAAAAAAACTTCTAGGAGCAGCAGCCACATCTTCATCCAAAACTAATCAGTTCCTTCTTGGGCCATACCTCTCTGTGTACCTAGCTTTGCTGAAATCCATCCATTAGTTTTGAAATTCATTGAGATATTTTGAGATAAACAGACCAGCTGCAGAGATGAAAACATTGCTTCCATTCACCTGCACTTGTGGAGGTAATTATTACATTTTTTTTAATTGCATCTCAAATTTGCCATTTGTATGCTAAAATCACCATGTTAGTAATAACCTCTTTCAACTTTCGCTGGAACTCAAAAATAATTATCTATTTTGTTATGACGTATTTAAAACCTGTGAACTGTCCTCTCTGGCCATAATTCCAAATCATCAGAATCAGTGAACAAAGCAGTCCCAAAACATATACTCTGTGGAACATCATTGCCCACTTTCAATCATTCTGAGAACTGTCTCAATATTTATGACAGGTCTTACGCCTTCTAACGAGATGATGATCTAATTTTCCAGCTTCCATTTAATTCCATGGCATTTAATCATTTCCAATAGTCTCCAATGTGACACCTTATAAAAGACTTCCTAAGAGCCCTATATTCACTGCCTCCTCTTACCCACAGTACCACCTTCTTAAAGAACTTTATTAGATTTATCAAGCGGAATTTTCCTTCCAGAAATCAATTTTAACTAATTCAACCTATTTATTTAGATATTTATTATTTTCAGCCATAATTTGAAAGTTTTTTTTTCTCTACCATCATTGATGAACTACACGGCGTATAATATCTGGATTGGTTCCCTTTTTCTTTTTGGAAAATAGATACTCTATTTCATTGCCAAGTCCAGGTTCAGTACACATTCCCTATTGGTAGAATTTTCACTCTGCATCCAAGATCTCTTCCCTCATTTCTTTGGGATCAGTGGGTGTAGTTCAATAGGTTCCAGCAATTTGTAGCCATAAATGTTTTTCCAATAGTTTCCTTTTATTTATCAGAACATCATTCACCTTGCTTTTAACTAATCTGTCCCTCCCCTATATTCTTTTTTGTAAACACAGCTGCGTAGTACATGTTGTTTCATAATACCTATTTATTCTTTCCAGTTCACTATTCTTTTCGTGAGTCCAACTAATGGAAAAAAAAGTTGTGTTGATATTTTACTGTAAATTCTTCTCAGATTTTTCTTCTAATATGTCTTGTTTTCTATCTCAGTTTTTAAATAAAAACCATATCCTTCTTTTCTTGTATTTTCTGTGACTTTTAATCAAATCTTTAAGTCTCAAGTAGTCACTTCAATTTTAATTTCTAACTGCTTTACACCAAGTTTTAAAATGTCATGAGTAAAGTAGTCTGCTTTTAAAAAAATGTATTTATTTTATAACTTTGTGATTTCCTATTACATAAAAAAGTTCATTTGTTGACTTACTTTCTTGAATTCTATTTTAACTTTCCATCTCACCTCAGCAAATTCAACTCTCATCTTTCTAAAATGTGCCTTTTTGAGGAAAGAATTCTGCTGCATTTTAGAACTTAAATTCATTTTCCCCTCTTCCTAAATCATCTCAGAACTTAGACATTCTGAAACAATAACTGGCATTCCTACACATTCCTCTCATCTGCTCTCCCATTTCTCTTCAATTTCAGACGATAAAAGTCTGTAGTACAATCCCCTTTTTTTTTAAAAATTACCTTTGATTTCTAACCAAATTGACTCTGAATCTCATCTTCTTGAGTAACTTGTCTTCACTGCAGCATGTACTTTCTCCTTGACTAATATGATGAATAAATACTAATTTATTGTTTTACTTTTCTCACTTGATATATATTTGGGCATTAAAATTATTAGCATCTCGACTCTAAACTTGATTTAGATCCTCAAAGTACTAAACTGGGATTTAAATAATACCGCAAAATTAAAATTAATTAGTCCAGTTTAATATTTTACACTTCTTTCGTAATTTATCTGGTTTCTCTTATGTTGTTGCACTATTATTTTAGAATTTTCATGTAATTTAATACCACAAACATTAGTAATCATCATTAAACAAATCAAATACAGCTTAGGGTGTTTCTTTCTGAAAAAGATCTTTCAACTTAATCTAAGATTTTTATGTTAGAACTATTAATATGTTTTGCGGGTGCATAAGGTATTGTTGCTTGTACAGTCAGGAGACACTTCATACCTAACTAAATTTTAAAAATTATTATATTAAAAAAAGGAGAAAAAAGTCAGAAACTTGGAAAATAGAATCAATCAGGCATTATGGTTGGCACGTGCAATAAAAGTCACAATTAAGGTTAACTATCAATACCTTACACAATATAGACAGTCAACTATATAAGTAATTCAACAGATATAAATTTATTTCCAGACTCTTCAAAAGATTATTTTGTATAATTGTTTGGAAAGGACATAAAGCAAAAGGGATTGATAATGTCATACTTCAGTCTAATCTTTTTTCCTAAGATAACTGTGTCAGGCTAAAAAATAAGTGGCAGTGGTGAATATTTACATAATAAATTAGTTTTCCAATGATCCAAACTTTAAACATTATAGTCAATATGCATGAAACAAAAATGTCAAAACAATTACCAGTATAACTGTTTGCATCCTAAATCTCACAATAATCAACACCCCACTTATAAAATCACAATTATTTAGTCCAACACAAGAATTTTGCATTTTTTACAATTACTCTGGTTTTTCAGGTTCTTGTTCTACTCATGGAGAATTCTGTTTTGTGTAAAGTTTCAATTGCCTATTTGCAATCGACTCCTGAAGACACATTTTCGTCAGAACAATAGATTAAATCAATATAGTCTTATTACATTTCTAGTTTCAAGGCAAAGGGTTAAACGAGTTAAAGGAAAGTTGAACACTTTAATTCACTGAAATTTTAACATGCCAACGACTGTAAGCGTAGCATTGACCATCGGCTGCCGTCGAAACGATCGTTTTAAAAGTTGATGGCGGACCGCAAGTAAAATTTCATGTTGCATTCATTGATCTGGTAAGGTCTCCAAGACGTCATTTCGTGCCAGTGACGGACAAATGCAAACTGAGCAAAGATTATTTTAAAGTCACTACTACTTTGCAACTTAACAAAATATTACAATCCACGACTTCCACGATCATCTTGATTCAAATCTCAGCTTTTATCACGAAACATATTTAATATATTATAATTAAGTCATCTGACTTCTCTCGAGACCCTCCTACTGGAGCTTTTATTATTTATAACACAATATGCTACTGCCACCTAACTGAGCCTTTGACTAATCCATGCTCGAATGCTGCAACACCACCATCCCTGAACGCAAATGCTATAAAGATATACATTGTAAAAGAAAAACTCATGAGTTAGCTTGTATTGCTTCAAATAGATACCAAAACGAAAACAAAGTAAGCTCTTAAGAAGTGAATTGAACAAACGAAGCAAGCGGCGTTTCAGCTTCTGAATGGTATTCACCAGATAAAGAAATCAGTTACAGATAAAAAGGAATAATAATCTTAACTGCACACTGGTCAAATCGTTTTATTTTTTGATACATTGTAACACATCCCTGCAATGACCGTTTTACACTAACCTTTCTTCGCGATACAATAAAACTAACTGAAGCAGCACGCACGGAAATGGGTTTGTAACAAAGGAAAGACTGCTGGCAAACTGAAGTGTCAAAAACTACAGAATGAAGCGTTGCAACAAAGTGTCACTCGCCAATGAAACCATCGGGATTGCATTAGAGCGGGATTTTTGTTGCATTTTAATAAAGCACAACCCAAACGAAGAGAAAATTCGTAAAAGGAAGAAAAGAAAACAAATCAGCCCTGGCATTAAAAAGCCAAGTCAGCAGAAACGAAAGTGCAATACACACAAACAACTAATACAAAGATTTAGTTGTATTTAAACTTACTCGGTGTGTGTCAGATGCTGCAGATTGTGCCTTGCGGGTGTGTATATGGTGCCGATTCTGCCCGCGCCCCCAGCCCCCAGCCACGCTGTCGATACAGCTGCAGGGAATCGGATTGTGATCATTCGCGATTGCAGACACCAGGCGTGACTTTTCGCGGGACTCGAAACCCTCCCACCGAAACTGCGCCTGGATTTACCACCTCACCAAAGGCAGAGCCTGCTTTTAGTTGGCAGGGGAAACACCCGAACATCGTCATAAAATGCTTTTGAATTTATTCCATGCCATTTGTAGGTTCCGCGTTTACTTTCTCTTTCTCTCGCTCTGCGCAGGCCTACCCTCCTCGGGTGTGTCGAAAGTGCGGGCTGTGAGCTGCAAGCCATGCCGTCTCCTTCCTGCTCTTCACTCTGGCTGGAAGGAACAGGACAGTAGACAACGCAGGGGAAGATGCACAAATTCCATTTCAGCGGAGAGCCTGTGCCGGATTGTGTGCTGAACGACATCCAGACACTTAATAAACTCTCCAGCCAGGTAACTGCTGTGAATGGATGTCATTCTTAATATTGTTCAATGACCGTGAGTGTTTGAATTTGCAGGAAGAGAAACATAGGCTTCAGACCCAATAACATATGCAGTAAACATAAAAAAAACATAGGAATGCCATTTAAGATCAGCAATAGACGTGCATATTACCAAATCATTTAAGCACACGGAAGTGGTCAGAGATTAACTGGAAATCTAAAACTAAAGCATTAAATACTTGGAAAAAAACAGAGCAGGCCAGTCAGAATCTGTATAGTGAAAATAGAAACCAAATCTTCTGGGTGTTTGTCCTTCATAACAACTGATAAGATTGAGTGATTAAAATCATAAAATTACATCTGTTCAACCACAAATCAGTTATATTTCCATAGAAGTTCCTTAAAGCACTTTTCTTAACAGCTGTCATCAGTTTGAAAACTGAACCCCAAGTCTGTCTTTTTTTATAAAGTAATATTCACGTTGTAATTGTTTGAACCTTGAAAATTGCTTAAAAAAGACACAAAATGCATTTTAATTTACTGTGGTAAATTGCAAGGTTAGGAGATAATCACATTTCTAATATATTTTCCTGTGTTCTATGCTCTTCCCTGTCTCATTTGCTACCGGGCTTGACAAAAGTTTTCAATCCAGTTTGAATGCTTTTCTGTAAAGAGAATCCTTGTAAATACTGAAACCCCTACCCCATATCTAATGTGCAACAGACTGCCAGCTACCTACAGGAGAACATTTTCTTTAATGGAAGATGTTAGGAAACTGCAATAGAAGTAACAGGCTGAATCTTCCTTTTGGATATGACAATTTCAGTGAATTTCATTGTGTTTTCTCAAACAGTTCTCTACTGCTCATGTTTTTAATTATGCATTCAGCCTCCACAGTGCCCTCCTTGTGCAATGTTGTAGTCAGCAGATGCAGAATTGTTCACTTGGACCTTCAGACGTTCATGTTGCAGATGTCATATTTAAACCTCAGCTGCATACCAAGTCACACGCTTACAAACCAGTAACTGCCCTTCATAGTCTGTTGCTGTACAACTCCAAAGAAGATGACTGAGAAAGGAAGGTTGGCACCCAATTTAATGAACAGTGAGTTGGAGGTCCTGATAGATTGGATGGTGGAAAGGAGTGCTGTGCTCTTTTTTTTCCCAGGACCGACAAAGATCACACCACTGGACACTGCCAGCCTGGTCTGAAATAGCCACCTAGGTCCATGCACAAAAAAAAATGTGCAGCAGTATCTTAAGCAGGTCAGTCACATTCTGTGCTTTGTGAAGGTAAGTACCAACACCTTCTCTCTGCTACCCTACACCAATTCTAACTCTGCCACTGCACACACCTCCCACCAAGGCTCATAGTTTACCACACTTGCTATTGCATGCAGCATCTTCCCTCAATTGTTCTCGCTAACCCACTTTCACCAAATACAAAGGCTTCCTGCTCTGTGTGCATCCAACTCACCCACTAACACTCTTTATCGTCTTTGCTGCTCCTGCTTCAGCACTCATAGCTCTAAATCATTTTTATCTCACACCTTCAGTTTGTCTCATTACCAAAAGAAAAAAGGCCCACAGTTGGGGAGATGTTAGTCTCTGACATGCCCCCTTCCCCCAACCAGGGAGAAGATCCTTGAGCTTGCAGACTGTGACTGCTCATGTGATTGTGACACTGAGACCTCCATATCAAAGCAACCAAGTAAGCTTCATTGTGCAGTGCTGGTCTCACCATTACCACCCCGAACGAATTCTTAACATGGTCATGCTTCTATTCATATTGCACAACTAATTTCCCTTCTTGTCTTAACCAGGCACTAACAACACCCATACAATACCACCTCTACTTCTGAGGAAGATCCTCAGATGATCCTACACCCTGAACCAACTCAGATACTTGCATCTTGATGGGTTTTATTTATAAGTAAGATTCAGGAACACGTTCTGGACACATCTTTGCAACTGACTCAGGAAGAAATGGCCAGGTAGTTGGCACTCGTAGGACTGCCAGAGATGAAGCACCTTCTCAGCCTCAGCCATAAGGTGGCACCGTGATGTCAGCCATTAATAACTTTGTGCTAGTGCACAAACAGACACACGAGCAGTAGGCACGTTTGTCAGAGGTACTCAACAAACTGGATTGAAGAGTTGAGAAAGTTCACTAACGTTATGGTGGCTGAATTTGGCATGGTTGCATCTTGCAATTTCCATGGACATACTGTTGACCATCGTCGAAAGCCAGGTCCAGCAAAGTGCTCAGAATCTTTTGGAGATGCACACAGAGCTGGATTCTCACACTTTGCTTTTGCTGCTGTGCATCAACCGCGCAGAAACAGGGAAATGAGAGGCCTCTACCTCACTCTACATGCCTCAGCCTCTCAATGAGACAAGGTTGTGCCAGCAGGCACCCAGACAAAGGAGGAACCACATGCAGGCCTCCCCAGACTTTTACCCTTACGGACACTCCACTTCCCACCCTGTCTGTGATCACACAACTCTGTGTACATTGCAGCTCAAGAGTGTGAATCTGCATCTTGATATAACACTGGTTGCACATCTGGGCCTTTAGCTACAAATGCCTCTGCAGCCATCGACCTGAATCATCGAGGACAACATGCTCCACAATAGCATAGGCTCCCGTACCGCAGCTGAGAACACATGGGACTGCATCTAGGCATGGTGGGAGGGCAAGGAAAAAGGGAGAAACCTCTAATGGCACATAGATACCACAGGGAACACTTGATCATTAATAGGATATCACATTTGCACTTTAAATCATCACCTGTCTGATTTTCATTTTAGTTATAGAACCCACAATCAATTGACTCACACTACCCTTTCCTGCACATCACAATATTAGAACCTTGTTTGAAGGAGTGCTACTCTTTCCCCAATGCTCATCAGAACACAACATTGTTGTTTTTGAATGTGGAAGCATTAGGTGCTGTGAAGCCTCCAGTCAGTTAGTTATGTTAACTGTTCTAAGGAAGGGTCACCGGACCCGAAAAGTTAACTCTGATTTCTCTTCACGGATGCTGCCAGACCTGCTGAGCTTTTCCAACAACTTCTGTTTTTGTTTCTGATTTACAGCACCCGCAGTTCTTTGTTTTTTTGGTAGTAATGTTAACTTATCTGACACAACAGGAAAAGCAAAAATATTGCAAAGGAAACGCTGCATTTGCTTTGGGGCCTAAACAGGGGCTGTTGTCTGTGGATAACCAATAAATCTACAGCCACTGAATTATGTCTTCACTCAACTCAGATCTATTTGAAGACGCATCAATGAAGTGCTGTCTGGCTTGTTGTCCCGACACTCACTGCTCTGTCATGATGAAAGTGATGTTACTCCCAGTCAATGACTTCATCTCGTCCTCTGAAGACTGCTTCCATTCTCCTAGTTCTTCAGGGTCCACCTCATCCCCTCTCTGCTTAATCCAGCTGTGCAGAGCAAAGCATGCTGACATTACGCAGCACACACTCTGTCATAAAATCTCATCTTCAGAATGCCTGTCATTTGCATCATGGTGCTAGTGGGAGAATGGGCCGCATTGTATCTACATGCATCCTTGGGTAGCTGTGTACTGGGTTTTGAATGTGTTTGGGAATTATCTGCCATAGGTGACACTTTGGAGGTCGCTTGTGATCACTTTTAGAAATTTATCAGATACTGAATAAATACGTAACTATTCACCTTGATACTAAAGATGCATTGGCAAGCACTACCAGCCTTTCTGCTCGTTTACTACTGTACAGAAGTTAAACAGTAAAATCTGCTTAAATCTCGATTGTTATACCATCCTGCTCAACATTCTAGCAACTCTATGTTTGCATATATGTTTTAAATCTTAATCTTTTAAAAATATCATAGCTAATCCTAGACATTTGTTTACAAGACTAACAGTTTAGCATATCATAGGTAATGGTCTGCTCATAGATTGCAGTCAAGTTAAAAGTTAAAGCGTCAGGTTAAATCACTTTATACATTGTTAATGAGCACAAATTAGCAATTAAATTTTGTTGATTCTTTTTGACCAAAATATGCAGGTCGTTTAGAGAAATCAAAGTAACGCTGGTGCTTATTATTGAGTGAAATGTGAATATTTAACATTTCCAGTATTCTAGTCCCCATACTAGAATTTTGGAGGCCCCTATTTCTGGACCTGCCATCCATACCTCAGAATGTCAGGGTTCAAAGTGCATTCATCACGTGGCCAAACAGGTTGATTTTCAGTCTGTAAATCTTTCCAATTCAGTCAGGAAGAAAAGGAGAATTTCTTAGTCAGCCATCCTGCAGAAGGCAGTGGCAAACCACTGCAATATTTAATCTGTGAACATGGACTAATCCTAGGAACTAACCCTGGGAAATGAGGACAGGAGAAAATACAGATGGACAAGTAGTATTTTACTTAATGTTACAGAAATTTTGAGTCTGTCACTAATTTAATGTTTGTTTCTTTTAGTTCCCATTTATTCTATGGGTAGTTTTGAAGTTATTGCTACTATAGTTAAGTCATCATCCTGCAATATTTGGTTTCACTTACCTACGCCTTTGCTTCTTTTACAGTGAGAAAAATAAATTGTAGGGAGAAGTTTGTATTTGTCTTTGGGTGTGTAACATCCACTTCTTCCTCTTCTGCTGTTGATACAGTGAAAAGGCTGGGATAAGAATGCTGTCTTTGAAAGAGTGAATGCAGTTAGGTAGAGGAAGCTATGTTTTTGAGTTGGTAGAATTTCTTGTAAAGACTTTTAAATCCGTCACCACTTTTGGAATTTATATGGCTAAGTTGATTTCAATTTGTGATGTAGTAGAGATCATTTACATTTCATGAATTTTATTTACAGCAATTCTCGGAATTGACAGGGATAATCTTTCACTTTATTACAGAACCCACAGAGGTAAGAAATGCTGTAAAATGTAGCAATTCTATTAGTTGTGGATGTGTAGGTGATGTTCACAGACAGACATGTATGATTATGGTTATGTTTAGTGTGTTTATGTGAATCATTGTTTTAACTGGATTATTAAAATAAAAGAGTTAAATATTCTTTCTCTGATACCAACGAGAGAGATTCATAGCCTGACATCTTCTGCAGTAGGAATGTTTGCCTTATTGATGACAGTTTGTACATCACTATTCATTCAAGTTTCCTTCTGTACCTTTTTGAAGCACCCAAGGCTTGGCATCAAGGACATTAATGTAACATTACAGACAATTCTTTGTAACACAGAGTTTAAACATTGCTAAAAGGAGACTAGAAGTTGAAGCTTTTCATCTTGAACTTATCAGACCAGGACACAAGAAATGGGCTAGAAAACCTGTCTCTTGTGTCCAGGTTCTGATAAGTGCAAGACAGAAAGTTTCAACTTCTAGTTTCCTTTAGAACTGGTTAAAAGATATGTCACCCTGCTATTAATTGCAGGTCTCTGTTTTTGGCTTCTCAGAAGCAACATTTTATGCTTACCTAATAATGAAGTCTACATTGACGTTGTATCACCTTTTGAAAGCTGAAGACTGTTTACCATGATAATAATGCTTAAAGCAGCAATTTACTAAATGCATTGTTGAGCAAAATGTATTCTATATTTCTGATGAAGGGTCTAGGCCCGAAACGTCAGCCTTTCTGCTCCTATGATGCTGCTTGGCCTGCTGTGTTCATCCAGCTCTGCACCTTGTCGTCTTGTATTTTATATTTTCTCGTTTTCAGTCAGAACGATTATTAAGCCAACTCGGTGAGTTTGCCTCTCAGCATGGAATGAGCCCAGGCCCACTGAAAAACATTGTGAAAAGCATCCTCTTGATTCCTGCTGGTGAGATATGTTTTGCATTTTATATGTCATATGCTGTGAGTTTTCTTCTTGTGGCAGGAGAGCTTGTGGTAACACCAGTTTTAAATATGACTTATCACGGTGCTTTACAAATTTTGTTTTCCACTCTAAATGTTCTCTGTTCTCATCCACAAATTCATCCCAGGTCGGATGTGGGGATGTTCACAGTGGTTGTGCAATGTTCAGCAGCATTTGTGATTCTTCAAGTACTGAAGCAGTCCATGTCGAAATGCAACAAAATCTGGCCAATATCTAGGCTCAGGCTGACAACTGGCAAGTAACATGCACACTACACAAATGCCAGATGCTGACCAATCTGATAAGAGACAATCTAACCACTGCACCTTGACATTTGATGGTGCTACCATCACTTCATACCCTAGTATCAACATCCTGTGGGTCATCTGTGACCAGAAACTCAACTGGACTCGCCACACAAACACTGGCTACAAGAGTAGGTCAGTGGCTAGGAATACAGCAGCAACTCACCTCCTGACTTCCCAAAGCCTGTCCACTGTCTACAAGGTACAAGTCAGGAGAGTGATGAAATACTCCCCACTTCCTAGATAGGTGCAGCTCCAACAACACTCAAGAAGCTTGACACCATCAAGACAGCTCACTTGATTGACACTGCATCCACAAACATCCTCTCCCTCTACCACTGATGTTCAGTAACAGCAATATGTACTATCTACAAGATGCACAGCAGAAATTTACCAAAGATCCATAGACGGCGCCTTCCAAACCACAACCACTTCCATGTAGAAGGGCAAGGGCAGCAAATACATAGGAACATCACCACCTGCAAACTACCTTCCAAACCATTCACTATCTGGACTTTGAAATGTATTGCCATTTCCTCATTGTTACTCGGTCAAAATCTTGGCATTCCCTCCTTAAGGACATTGTCGTTAAACTGCAGCATGTGGAATGCAATAGTTCAAGAAAGCAGCTCACCACTACCTTGTCAAGCACAACTAGGTACAAGCAATAAATGCTGGCCAGCCAGCAATGCCCACTTCTCATGAGTGAATATTTTTTTTAAAATGTCTCATGATTAGGAGTTAACTAATGCTTGTAATATCTAGTCATGCAATAGCATGGCCTGAGGCTATTACAGTAAACACTTGTATTATGTGAACGAGTTATTATATCCTCACATTTATGACCACCTATACTTCTCTAATCTTTTGAAAGGCCAATAAACAATATGGGTGACTAAATTATCAGATTGCTTTATTTTACAGTCAGCAAGTGACCATAAAAAATAACTGTGTAAGTCCCATGCCACATTGAATTAATTTCAGCAAACATCCTTTTAAAATAGAAAATAGCAAAACATGCTAGACTATCTCTGTTACTGTGCTATTTTTAAAGTAGAAAGTCCTGGAGAAACAATGGACTGGAAGCATCAGTGGAGATAGGAACTGAGGTAATGTTTTGAGTCCAATATGACTCTTCTTCAGAACAGTCATAATGGACCTGCTGAGTTTCTCCAGCACTTTGTTTTTATTTCAGGTTTCCAGCATCTGTAATATTCTGTTACTGATCTAAATGTTCAGTCTGTTTGCTCAGCCTTTGGTATCCAACTCTGCCTTTAGTAGGGTATCTTTCCTCCCCTCACCAGACGTTACAAGAAACTGATTGTTTTTCTGATCTTTTGTCTCTAGCTGGATAGGAAGCCAGCAATTCAATCTGTCATGCCCTCTCTGTGCAGGCCTGAGTCAGCAGACTGGAATGAATTAATTAATGTTTTAAAATATTAATCTGCTGAGTTTCTGGGTAATTTTACAGCCATTTAAAATTATTCTTGCCTGTGAGGGGTAACAAAAGCCTTTGAAATATATTTGAAAAGTATGTTTGGAAAATCAGTGTTGAAGAGAATAATTAGGAATGTATGACCATGTGTAGGCCTTTCAGCCTGTTGAGCCTGCTCTGTCATTTAGTATGACCATGGTTGATCAAATATTTTAATGCCTTTTACCTGCACTATATCCATAACCATTTAAACTATTGAAAATCAAACATTTATTAACCTCTACTTTAAATATACTCAAAGACTGAGCTTTTACAGACCTCTGGAGTAGAGAATTCCAAAGACACATCACCCATCGGAGTAAAATAAATTATTTCAACGTGGTCCTGAATGGCATCTCACTTATTTTTAAATTAGGTCCCTGGGTCTAGATTCTCCAACCAACGGAAACATCTGATCTGTCTATGCCTTTAAGTATTTTCATAGAGTCATACAGCAAAGAAACGGGCCCTTTAACCCACATGTCTCTTGCCAACCAATGGCTCAGTGGTTAGCACTGCTGCCTCACAGCACCAGGGACCTGGGTTCGATTTCACCCTCTGGCGACTGTCTGTGTGGAGTTTGCACTTTCTCCCCATGTCTGCGTGAGTTTCCTTTGGGTGCTCCAGTTTCATCCCCCAGTCCAAAGATGTGCAGGTTAGGTGGATTGGCTATGCTAAATTGCCCATTGTGTTCAGGGATGTGTAGATTAGGCAGGTTACAGGGGGATGGGTCTGGGTGGGATGCTCTGAGGGTTGGTGTGGACTTTTTCAGCCAAAGGGCCTGTTTCCACACTGTAGGGATTCTATGATCATTTACCTGCACTTAATCCATAGCTACTATGCCCTGGCATTTTAAGTGCTCATTGAGATGCTTCTTAAACATTGCGAGAGCCAATGCTTCCACCATCCTTTCAGTCAGCACATTCCATATTTCTACCACATTCTGGTGAAATAACTTTTTCTCAGATCTCTAAATTATTTACTCGTCACCTTAAACTTGTGCCCTTCGATTTTGGGCATGTCTGCCATGGTGAAAAGATTTTCATTATCTGCCTTATCTATGCCTCTCTTGTAATTTTGTATACTTCAATTAGATCCCCATTTCAGCCTCCTCTGCTTCAATGAAAACAAACCCAAGGTTTTGGAGTATATATGTAGCTCGGGTTGTGGATGTTCTTCCAAAAAGAAGAACAATACCTCTTCCAGGCGTTCAAAGAGAATGGATATCCAAAAAAACTGGGTCAGAAGATGCCTACATGAACAACACCAGGAAGATATTACATGCCCCAACACAGTCAACATGATACCTTACATCAGGAACACATCGGAACTTACCACAAGACTGCTATGACCGCTGGGCATCAGAGTGGCACACAAACTACGTCAACCCTATGACAACTGCTCACCCGAACCAAAGACCCACTTCCCTCTTTGCACAGGACCAATGTCATCTATAAGATTTCCTGCAGAGACTGTGACAAACACTTATTGGGACAAACAGGAAGGAAATTAACAACAAGGGTACACGAACACCAATTGGCTACAAAAAGACACGACCAATACTCACTCATCTCTATCCACATGGATAAGGAGAACCACCAATTCGATTGGGACAACACCAAGATCCTGGGACAAGCAAAGCAGAGACAGGCACGGGAATTCCTAGAAGCCTGGTACTCCATGAAGAAAGCCATCAACAAACACACAGAACTCAACCCCAAATACACATCATTACAAAGGAAAACAGGAAGTGAGGTAATCCAGCTCAACGGATTCCAGAATTTAAAAACCAGGTGGGAAAACACAACGGCGCTTCATCGGAAGCTACACTGATGATGTAATCCAGCAGAGTAATGAAACATCTGCAGAACAACGAACCAGCTCGGCAAGCCAACCAACCACAACAGAAAACAAACCTAGCCTATCCAGTCTCCCTTCACAACTGAGACTGTTCATCCTAGGCAACATCCTGGAGAATCTCTCTGCACCCTCTCCTGTGCGATCATATCCTTCCCAGAACTGCGCACAGTATCCCGTCTGTGGCCTAACCAATGTCTTATAACACAAGACTTCCTTGCTCCTATACTCTACAGCACGGCTAATGAAGGCTATGTCTTCTTCACGCTGTCTATCAGTGTGCTGTCTGTGTGGAGTTTGCATGTTCTCCCCAAGTCTGTATGAGTTTCCTTCAGGTGCTCCGGCTTCCTCCCACAATCAAAGATGTGAAGGTTAGATGGTTTGACCATACTAAATTGCCCATAGTGTCCAGTGATGTGCAGGTTAGGTGGATTAGCCATGGGAAATGCAGGGTTACAGGGATAGGGTGAGGGGTGGGTGGATCTGGATGGGATGCTTATCAGAGGGTCAGTGTGGACTCACTGGCTGTTTCCACACTGTAGGGGTTCTATGATTCTTCAGGGATCTGTGTTCTTGTACATCAAAGTCTCTTTGTTCCTCAGTACTCTCTGGGACCTACCATTCATTGTGTACATTCTTCCATTATTAGACCTCACACTTTTCAGGATTAAATTCCATCTGCCATTGCTATGCCCAGTTTACCAGCGGATCAATATCACACTGCAGCCTAAGACTAACCTCCTCACTATCAACCTTACCAATTTTCACGTCATCTGCAACTTACTAATTACATTCACATCCAAGTTGTTAACGTACACAATAAACATCAAGGGTCCCAACATCTATCCCTGTTGTACACTGCTGGTCACATGCTTCCAGTCACAAAAACAATCCTCCACCATCACCCTTTGTAAGCCAATTTTAGATCCAGTTTGCCAACTTGCCTTGGATCCCATGGACTGTCACCTTTTGGACCAGCCTTCCATGTAGAACCTTGTCAAATGCCCAATCTGAAGTCCATGTAAACCACATCAACTGCACTACCCTCATCAATACATTCAGTCACCTTTTCAAAAAATTCAATTAAATTAGTCAAGACAGGATCTCCCTTGCCCAAATCAATGCTGACTATCGCTGATCAATCTGTGCCTTACTAATTGTTGATTAATGCTGCCCCTCAGAATTTTTTCCAAGAATTTCCCAACCACTGGCATCAGATTAATTGGTCTGTGAATACCTGGCCTATTGCTGCTGCCCTTCTTGAACAAAGGAACCACATTAGCTAAGCTCCAACCATCTGGCACCTCACTAGTGAAATATTAAATATCTCTGCCAGGGCCCCATCAATCTCTCTGTTACTTCCCGTAACAGCCTGGGATATATCTTGTCGGGCTCTGGGGATTTATGCACCTTTATGGTCTCTAAAACATCTAATACCTCCTCCTCATTAATCTTAAAGTATTCTAGAACCTCTTCATCCAAACTGAAATCCTCAGCAACAAGGACTTTCTCCTTTTTGAATGCAGATAAGAAATATTCATTTAAGATCTCATCCACATCTTCTGGCTCCATGCACGGATTGCCCCTTTGATCTCAAAAAGGCACCATTCTTTCCCTGGTGATCCTTTTACTCTTCACATACTTATAAAATGCCTTGGGGATTTTCCTTATCCTATCTGCCAAAGGTGGCCTCTCTTTGCTCTCCTAATTTCTTTAAGCTTCCCCTGCAATCTCGATATTTTTCAAGGGCCAGCCCTGTTTTTAATGTGCTGTACCTAACATATTCTTCCTTCTTTTCTTTATCAAACTGTCAATATCCCTTGACATTCAGTGGTCCCTGGACTTGCTGCCTATGCCCTTCACACTTAGCGGAACACACTGGCCTTGAATTTTCACTCTGCTACTTTTAAATGACTCCCACTTTTCAGATGTAGACTTACCTGAAAGGAGTTGCTGCCAGTTGGTGTTGTCAGATCCTGTGTAATGATATTTAAACTGTCCTTTGCCCGATATCAGACAATTAATTCTGCACTGTACTTATCCTATTTTGTAAGTTTCAATGAGATCACCTCTAATTCTTTGAAACTCGAGAATACAGGCTCAGTTTGCCCAATCTCTCATCATAGGATAGTCTTGTCATCCCAGGAGAATCTTCATTGTGCTCCCTCTATGGCAATAATACCTTTCCTGAAATAAGAAGAACAAAACTGCACACAGTACTTCAGGTGCAGTCTAAACAAGGTCCCAAACAACTGAAGCAAAAATTCACTACTAATGTACTCAAATTACCTTGCGATAAAGGCTAGCATTCCACTAGTCTTCCTAATAGCTTGCTGCACCTGCATGCCATCGTTCAGGGACTTATTGACAAGGACACCTGAGTCCCTTTGCACATCTATACTTTCTCTCTCCATTTAAGAAATACTCTGCACATCTGTTCTTCCTACCAAAGTGGATAACCTCACTTTTTTCCCCCACATTATAGGTCCATCTGCCTTGCTTCTGCAAGAAGCTTGTCCGAATCCTCGTAAAAACATTTCATACATTCATCATAAAGTAATTTCCTTTCTATTATCTGCAAATTTGTAAATAGTGTATTTGGCCCCCATGTCAAAATTATTGACATATATTGGAATGCAAGAATTGATTCTTACAGTACCTCACTAGTTACATTCTGCCAATGTGAGAATGCCCCATTTATTTTCGTTTTCTGTCTGTTGGCTAATTCTTAATCCATGCCAGGATGGTATCTCCTAAATCATGTGTTTTCATTTTGCTAACCAGGCTCCTGTGGGAGGGTAGCATGGTGGCTCAGTGGTTAGCACTGCTGCCTTACTGCACCAGGGACCCAGGTTCAATTCCAGCCTCTGACAACTGTCTGTGTGCAGTTTGCGCATTTTCCCCATGTCTGCATGGGTTTTTTCTGGGTGCTGTAGTTTTTTTCTCCACTCCAAAGATGTGCAGGTTAGGTGGATTGGCTGTGCTAAATTGCCCATAGTGTCTAGGGATGTGCAGGCTAGGTGGGTTAGCCATGGTAAATGCGGGGTTTTGGGGATAGGATAGGGGCTAGGTCTGGGCGGGATGCTGTTTGGAGAGTCGGTGCAGACTTGATGGGTTGAATGGCTTCTTTCCATACTGTGGAGTTTTATGGTTCTCATCAAAAGCCTTTTGAAAATCCAAATAGATTTTATCCATCGACTGTCTGTTATTAATTTTCTTCATAAGATCCTCATATTTTTGAAACACAATTTTCCATTTGCAAATCCCTGCCTAAACAAATTTTTATCCGTATGTTCAATTATCACATCCTTTATTATAGACTCGTGCACTGTTCCTACTATTGCTATAAGACTGACAATTCACCAGTTTTAAAATTTCCCCACCCCCGCCCTCATCCCATGACCAACCCCCCATCTCATCCCTGCCTCCTTGACCTGATGCAACCTGTCCATCTTCTCTCCCATCTATCTGCCCCACCTATCCCACTGACCAATCCCCACCACTCCCTACCTGCACTCCCCTATCATCATCCCACCTACCTTCCCCAGCCCCACCCCTCCTCTTTATTTATTTCCCAGCTCCGTTCCCTTTCCTCATTCTGAAGAAGGGTCTTGACCCGAAACATCAACTTTCCTGTTCCTCTGATGCTGTGTTCCTCCAGCTCCACGCTGTGTTGACTCTGACTCCAGCATCTGCAGTTCTTGCTATCTCAGATTTGTAGTTCCCTGCTTTTCCTTTGATCCTTTCTTAAATCGTGGGTGACATTTGCAAACTTCCAATCTGCAGTAATCATTCCAGAATCTGTGGAATTTTAGAAGATGATTACCAATGCATCAACAATTGGAAAATTCATGTCCTTCAACATTCTGGGACGTAGGCGGTTAGGTGCCAGGGTCTTAACTTTAAGCCCCATTAATTTCTCCAGTACCACTTCTTTTCTAATTTTAATTTTCTTGAACTCCTCATTCTCCCTAGTTTCTTGGATCTCTAAATCTGGGAGGTTTCTTGTTTCTCCCTCAGTAAAACTAGACACAAAGTAATCATTTAGCTTCTCTGCCATTCCTGTATATTCCTATTTTAAATTCTCCTAACTGTTTTTAATGGACCCTCATTTGTCTTAGCTATACGTTTCCTTTATTCATAGTTGCAGAAGCTTTTACAGTCCATTTTTCTGTAAACTGTTAGATTGTTTGTTTGTATTCTGTTCTTTCCTTATAAGCTTGTTGATTGTCATTCACTGTATTCTAAAAACTTCCCAATCCTCAAATATATTACATTTTACAGCTACTTTATAAGCCTTAAAATGCATAACCTCACACTTTCCAAAAAGCACATTGTTTTCTATCTGACATTTCCTTGCTTACTCTCCTAATCTGTCCAAGTCCTTCTGTAACTTCCCACTTCCTCAACATTACTTGTCCCTCTTCCTGTATTGTTTGCTGTCTTTGCTTCCTATAATCCAGTAGGTGACCATATTATGTCTTCTGAGCCATGCCACTCTAGACATTGAAGCACAAGCCCTCAATCTCACTTACATTTATATTTCCTCTCTGCCCTATATGCATGTCATGATTTAGAGGTTGAGAAAGGCATGATCTGAACATGTTTAGCTCATTGCAACATCAATACTTAAATTTGATTGATATGAAAATTAAACCGAAAGAGGATTTAAATCATAACACGTTCCTAAGGCTTAATGGTATGTATTTACGTAGCACAGAGACAAAAACGTTTAACCAGTTGAACCAAAAAACCTTAACCAGTTGACTAAACTGGATGAGAACAGGGAAATCAACGTGAAATTCAATGATTATAGATAACTCAACAGGAATATTCTCTTGGAATTAAAATATGTTGCACTTTCCAACAGGTGCTCTGAAAAGGAATTTGACAGCTGACCATGTCAAGACTGATTTTGTTACTTTGGGTATGTTGCAGTCAACCTTCATTAAACTACTCCATGAAATTCTTTCCATTTTAATGTTAAAAACTTACTTTCTTCTTGTTCATCAAGGGCTAAGTGAGGAAAAAGCTGGATGCTTTGCAGATCAGGTAAATTTTTATTTTGCTCCAACTTGTATAATTCTTAAAATCTAACCACGACTGTCTCAGATTTAAGCTAAAATGAAAATAAGAATGAGTTCTCAAAGCATACAACTCAAAGTCTTGTGATCTAATTCTGCATTTTGTGGAAATGGGGCAGGGAGAAAGTTCAGGTTCAATCATACTGTTACATCAAACTATTAAGGGAAGAAATATAGTTTCGGTAATCAAGTTTAGGTAATTGTTTAGGCATCAGCACCATGTCAGAACACTAAAACTGGATAAGGCCATAAATTTCTTTCAGGACATTTCCATCTACCAGTTTAGTAATCTGCTGTTTTTCAATGTTAGCCACAGTAGACAATTATAATAGATTAAAATGTACTGCAAGAAATTATAGTACTTGCCAATATTCCAAAATTCACATTATCTTGATATATTAAACTAAGATGATTCATCACCTTAATTATATTTCAATTTTGTGATTCAGTGATCTAATGCCAGGGCTTCATATAATGGTGCATTATTTAGGTGTCACCTAGCCTTTAGAATATTGAGCATTCAAAGCAATTGATTAACATTGCATGTTTTTATTATCAGATCACTACTACATGAATATTTAGCTATTTCACACACTTGCTAGCTGTGAAATTTTGGAACTGGAATTCAATGTCGTTACAATTCCCCTTTGCAATACTTGAAAGCAAAGAGATGTTATCAGGAGTTGGAGCTATCCAGGCTTGTATAGTGCTGGCAAAAGGGATACATCTTATATGCAGCTATTTAACTCCTACTTTTAGTAGTGTCAGTGTATGGAGGGGCATTGTGAACCTTAATAGATAGACAGTTAAGCCAAGGCTCAGGACTTAAGAAGAGTGAGAAAGGATGCTTGGAAACTTTATCCGTTCATGTAACAAAAAGGACTCCTGCAAAGGGGTTTTGTAAATAATTGAGTCAGTGACATTTTCTACTATTACTTAAATTTTTGCATGTAATTACATTTCCAAGTTGCAATCTCATATCTTACCTAGTGATACTAGCACAGCAATCTTGAAGAAGTCCTACTCCTCATCACAGTCCTGGCCAACTGAACCCAAGCAGTGTTTGCAAACCAAATACCCAGAAAGGAAGAGGCAAAGAAGATATCTAAAGGAATGTAAACAAAATTGTATTGCTTAAATACTGTGAAGTGGACACATTGCAAAGGAATACAAGCACTCTACATTTTTGTAACGTGCAGTCCATAGACGTGCATAAGTCTGCTATTTGGAGTATTGTAACACTATCTGTAATACTATAGCAATCTGATGCTGATGAAAATATGAAGATAAATTCTAGAATCCCAGTTAAAATTGGCGGTGCTCAATTGAGATCAAAGGCCATTTTGAATTCCAGTCCCTTTACCGGTGGCCCATTGTTGAGGGGTTCACATTTACATTTTAAATAATTCACATTTATATTTAGTTTAGGGGGTTGGCTGGATGGCTGGTTGATGATACAGAGTGACGCCAAAAGTGTAGGTTCAATTCCTGCATCAACTGAGGTTACCATGAAGGATTTTCCTTCTCAACCTCTTCCCTCACCTGTATTGTGACCGTCAAGTTGAACCATTACCAATTGTCTCTTTCTAATGAGACAGTAGCCTTACCAGACAGGTCTGGTAAGATAATGACAACCTTACCTTTAACTGAACAAAAAAAAGCCATTCTGTCTGACACAAATGCTGCCAGTAACTTGAGTTTTTAGTGATCTTTCTTTTGCAGGAAGATGCCCAATGCACTTTACCAGAAACACAAATGAATAAGATGAACGAGTCTTTTTTGAGTATTGTTTAATTCAGTGTTGTTTTTCCAGTGGAAATTGAATTCTGCGGTGCTGTCAAGACTGGCAGTGGGACAAACATTGACTGTCAATCAGTTAGTAGACATGGAGTGGAAATTTGGAGGTAATTTTAAAATTCACTTTGTATATCGTTGACTTTTTGATATATATGATGCATAATGTATTTATGGTTTACATGAGATTTGTTGGGATATAATTTATTCTGCTTAGCCCACCAATAAAAATATTCTTGTAAAATTTCTTTGTGCAGTAATTTAACCCAGTTATTTCACAGGCATTGGAATACTGCACAAGGAACTTTTGTACAAACACATTTACTGATACTGTTGGAAACTTCATAATATCATTATTGTAGAGAAACAATTAGCTAGTGCACCAAGATCCATTTAAACTACAAGTATTTCACTTCATATGCACAATGGAAATCAGAAACAGGACCCAACCTGACTCTCAAATTGACACTTGACTCTAGGCTTTATGCTATAACTTTTTAGCACTAGTGCAGGGATGAAAGGAAATAGTCCTAACAGTAAGATTTGAATCCAAGACTTAGACTGATTAGAGTAATAGATTTCCCTCATTCTGATGTTTAACTGAAGGACATTTTGACACCACCACCACCACCACCACCACCACACACACACACACACACACACACACCACCCCCGTGTCTTTCTGTAGATTTTTATCATGGTCAAGAATGAATCTTGCTGTCCTTGGTGGAACTATGGAAACTAAAAGTGCAGTTGATGTTGCTTAAAGATAGTATGTGGATGAACCCTACATTTATACAGGTGGGGTAGAAATGTTGAACATAATATCATTATACTGAACAGCTGAATAGAATTGCTCAAAGCCTTGTATAAAATCCTAAATATTTTTAACAATGAAACCTTTCAGTTGCAGCTGGCACTAAACAATAATCTCATTACTGTCTGAATTAACACTACAACATGTTAACTTTCCCTCGTAGTTAGCTTCATTTAATGTCAAATGGTTATTGTTTGCCACTGCACCTCATTAAACATTTGCACGAAAATCTGCCAATTTGCGGTGTAATAAGCTAAGGTCCCAAAGTTAACCATAATATATACAGAGTGCCTTGGCTTTCATGCTTGGCATGCATGTTAGAAAAACTGCTGCAATGAGTATCTGCTCATGTAAAAGTCAACCTTGTGTTTTTTGGCCCAAACATTTTTTACACCATTTTTTAAAGTGGGTCATAGTTGTTCAGGAAGCAAAACCCAAATAACTCAGAACTAAATTTTATCCATAGAATCACATCAAAAAACTCAATTTGTTATTCATTCAGAAATGTCATACTTACTGTAATTCCTCCAGTTCCTATTTGTCCATTAGAACAGGAAGAATGTGTATCAATTTTAATTTTAGGGGAGAGAAAGCGGGTGGCACAGGCCTCATCAGTTAGACCCCTGTAAGTGTCAACTCAGCACAATCCTGCACCCATGCTTCTTGACGTTCCTTAGTAAAAAAACACAGAGAGAGACCAGAAAATAACTGGTGTGGGCACTGCCTCCCCATTTACCTATGGATTCTTTTTAAAGCGATGTGTACCAAGCGAGTGTGTTTTTACTGAAAGTGACACCCTCAATGACATTACAGTTGTAAAAGTCAACACTATAACCTTTTTCCTGAAGAAGTGGTCTGAAAAATTTAGCATTTCAAAAGGCATTTACAGTAACCATTGTTCCAACATCGACATGTAGTAAAATAGTTATATTGATGCCACTAATTTTACTGTCCAATAGTTTTAGCAGTTTTGATGTGTACAATAAGGTATCATTATAAGTTGTCTAGTATGTATCTTCTTTTGGATAAATTCAGGATTCAACAGCCTACACTGATTACAGTTTATTTATTCTACCTCATTTAAAAAATGTATTATTTCTGTGGCAAAGAAGTGTGGAGTGGTTTTGATTTTACTCTAAGTATGGTGTTCTACCTCTTGTGCTTGTACTTGCCGACAAGAGGAAGACAAATGAAATGGAGATTGTGGAATCATTCCAGGGTGTTTGTGCATATTGAGAAATGTGTCGACTATTTTTGTGTGTGTGTGTGTGTGTGTGTGGGTGTGTGTGTGTGTGGGGGGGGGGGGGGGGGGGGAGTGAGGGGGTGCTGTTATATAATACAGAAAGATTCAAACTTTCATTATGAGATCTCCCCAAGGCAAGAACACAAAGGTTAAAGAGAAAACCAGAGGTGTTGCTTTATCTACACTTTCTTTGTTTGCAGTAACAGCAGGGAGCAGTGAATTGCAAAAGGTTGGCAGTGTATTTTTACAGGTAATTGTTTTATTACTTTTAAATTTAATAAATAATCATGTATCAATATGTGTTTTATATTAAATCCAAGGATCTCTACCCCTGTAAGTCTTATTGTTAAACACCAAGTTCTGAGAATTTGTGAGAATACTTCTCATCCTATATAATTTCTGTTGAAACTGTGATTGAACACCATGTAGATGAATGGCATATTTATTTTAAGCAAACTTTGGCAGTGTCTTTTGTTTTAATTTTTAAAGCTGAGTTTGTGAGTCATAGCATACCTTGCAATTTCTAAGTAAAATAAATACCATAACTTTTTGATCATCATACTGTCATCATTAACTTTAGATCATGTAGCTACAACATGTTGTTTTGGCATCAATTTCTTTATCATCGTCAGTTGCGTGGGACTGCATCCATTTATTTCCATTCCTACCTGCACAGTTGTAGCCAGAGAATCACTAGCACTGGCTTGTTGTCCTGCTTCCACATCCTAACTTTGTGTTACACAAGGATCTGTTCAACAAGCTACTTCTCAGCAACATCATCTGAAAATATAGTGTGAGTTACATACAAATATAGGAATCGGGAACAGGAGCAGGCATTGAGCCCCTTAAGCCAGTTCTGCCGGTCAATAAAATTATGGCTGATCCCATTGTAACCTCAAATCTACACTCCCGCCTACTCATCATAACCTTTCAACCCCTTGCTTAAGAATCTGTCTACCTCCGCTTAATAAATACTCAAACCCTATAATTCCACCACCATTTCAGGAAGAGAGTTGCAAAGATTCTCAATCTTTTGAGCAAAATCTAAATGAGTGACACCCCCCGCCCACAACTTACCTCGTGACTCCTAGCTCTAGATTCCCACAAGAGGAAACGTCATCTCAATATTTATCTTATCAAGACCCCCACCCCCAGGATTCTATATGTTTCATTTAAGTCACTTCTTACTCTTCTCAACTCTGGCAGATAGAAGCCATAGCTGTCCAACCTTTCCCCTTAAGACAACCCACTCCAGGTATTAGTCTAGTAAACCTTCTTTGAATTGCATCCAACACATTTCCGTGCTTCCTTAAGTAAGGTGACCAGTACTGTTTAGGGCAGCACAGTGGTTAGCACTGCTGCCTCATAGCACCAAATAGCCGGCTTCGATTCCAGCCTTGGGTGACTGTCTTTGTGGAGTTTGCACCTTCTCCCTGTGTCTGCATGGGTTTCTGTTGGGTGCGCTGGTTTTCTCCAACAGGCCATAAATGTGCAGGTTAAGTGGATTGGCTGTGATAAATTGTCCATAGTGTCCAGGCATGTGTAGGATAGGTGGATTAGCCACGGTAAATGTGGAGTTACAGAGATAGGCTAAGGGGCTGGGGCTGGGTGAGATGTTGTTCAGAGTTTTGGTGCAAACTCAATGGACTGACAGGCCTTTTTCTGCACCGTATTGATTCTGTGATTCATATATGTCTACTCTTCCTGTTAAGCATCCAATCTTTTACCCATGCCAATATGCTACCCCCAATACCAGGAGCTTTTGTTTTCTGCGATAACCTTTGATGTGGCACCTTATCAACTGCCTTCTGGAAATCTAAATATTATGTATCCAGTGGCTTCCCTTTACCAACAGAACATGTAACCTCCGAGAACGCCAATAGATTGTTCCAACATGATTTTCCATTCACAAAATCATGTTGACTCTGCCTGATTACCTTGAACCTATTCAAGTGCCTTGCTATAACTTCTTTAATAACAGCTGTTAACATTTTCTCTATGTGAAATGTTTAACTAGCCTGTGGTTTGCACTTTCTGTTTCCCTCCCTTTTTGAATATATTTTGTTATCTTCCAATCTGATAGGACTGTCCTTGAGTCTAGCAAGGTTTGAACATTTACAACCAAAGCATCAACTATCACACTGGCCACTTTTTTAAAGATCCTAGAACGAAGTCCATCAGGAACTACGCACCTGTTAGGGCACAGCTTCAACAATTTACTCAGTGCCACTTCTCTGGCACTCTTTTGATACCATTATCATGGCCTTTGTCTTTTTCTCTGAGTTCACTCACCATCTGTTCCACTTGCTGCTCTCCCCACCCCCTCCCATCTTTTAATAACATAACACAACCATTTTCCAGCTTGTTTCAGTTACAAAGAAATGTCACACTGGACTTGAAACGTTAATTCTGTTTCTCTGTCCACAGATGCTGCCAGCCCTTCTGAGTTTCTCCAGCAATTTCTGTTTTATTTATATTTATAATCTGCTTTTACATCATAAAATGTCCAAAGGTGCTTTGCAGAATCACTTAAAACAAATATGTTACCAAACAGCAAAAAATGATATTAGGTCAAATGCGCAAATACCCGATCAAAGAAATAGGTCTAGGAGTATTTTAAAGGAGGGCAGTGAGATAGACAGATGCAGCCAAAATATTTCCAGACGTTAGGGCCATGATAACTACTATCGGTGATCGAGCAATCAAAATTAGGTATGCACAAAATTAGAGGAGTGCAGGTATCTCAGAGGGTTGTGTTGTAGAAGAGATTACAAAAGTTGGGTGTGTGGTGAAGCCGTGGAGGGATATGAAAATAAGATTGGAAACTTTAAAATCAAGACTTTGCTTATCTAGGAACCAATGTAGATCAGGGAGCAAAGGAAAATGGGACTTGCTACGACCTAAAACATGCGCGGGAGGGTTTTGGATGACTTCAAGATTTCTGACATTACAACGTGAATTAACAGCCAGGATTGCATCAGAAATGTTATGTCTATAGCTTTCAACAACAGATGAGCTGAAATGGTTGAGTGAAGTTGACATATTTTAGATGTAGAAAAAGGCCTTCTGAATGATTGCACAGATATAACGTGCGAAGCTCATCTCAAAATCAGATGTAACTCCACAATTACAGATAGACTGGCTTAATCTCCAGGTTGCTTCCATGACGAGGGATAGAGACAATTGGGAGCTGAATTTAGGAATTTACCCCAATATTTCACACTGTATTGTTATAGATGAGAACAGCTATCTTTATAAATAAGTAATTTCAATACACATGAGAAAAGCTTTGTAAATCTAACAATCTTAAGCTGTGAAACAATGATAACGGTGAAAATAATCACATGCAATGAAGGAGATGGTGCACATTTCAAGGAACTCATTTTAGAGTAGAAAATAACCACCAAAAACGCGCACACCCATATCAAAGGCATGCAGAAGGAACTCTAATGCACAGAAACAAGGCATGGTAGCATATAATTCTCAGCAGGGTGAGGCTTTAGCCTTAACTGAAACATTGGAAATGGCTGTATGAAGATGTTTTTCTATGTATGTAGGGAAGAAAATGGAACATGTTATGCAGATTGCTCTCTAGAATTGCTTGTAAGCCACTTGAGGATTGACACAGAGTAGCAAGCAAGTCTCTGGCTTTCCCTCAGTGGTTGGATACTCAATGTTGGAGAGATTTGAAAGATGAGAAGGTAGAAAATGTTCTTAAAGCATTATCTGAAAACGAATCAAGACACAATAAGTCATGCTTAATTCGGAGATAGCAAGAACTGCAGAGTCAATGCAGCGTGGAGCTGGAGGAACACGGAAAGTCAGGCAGCATCAGAGGAACAGGAAAGTCGATGTTTCGGATCGAGACCCTTCTTCAGAACTGGACAGGGGGAAGGGAGCTGGGAAATAAATAGAGGGAGGAGGGGTGGGGCTGCTGGTGTAGTCCAGGTAGCTACGGGAGTCGGGTTTGAAATAGATGTTGATGCTGAGGCAGTTACCAGAGATGGAGACAGAGAGGCCCAGGGAGGTATTGGAGGTTGTCAAGGTGATTTTGAGATTGGGGTTAAAAGTGTTAGTAAAGTCGGTGAACTGTTCAAGCTCCTCATGGGAGCTCGAGGCAGCATCGATACAATCTCCCCACCCCCAGACTCATCGCATGTCCAGTCCTCCCCCTCATCCCCGCCTCCTTGACCTGACAAAACCTGTCCATCTTCTCTTCCACCTATCCACCCCACCCTTCCTACTGACCAATCCCCACCACCCCTACCTGCATCCACCTATCACCATCCCAGCTACCTTCCCACAGCCCCACCCCTCCTCCCTCTATTTATTTCCCAGCTCCCTTTCCCCTCCCCAGTTCTGAAGAAGGGTCCTGACCTGAAACATCAACTTTCCTACTTTTCTGCTGCCTGACCTGCTGTGTTCCTCCAGCTCCACACTGTGTTGAGTCCTGCTTAATTCCCTTAATTTAGTTATTTTAAGGCCATAAATAAATTCTGGCTTTGTTTTTAGTTGTCGAGGAGTGTGGTTTTCACTGGCTGGACTAGTTTTTATTGCTCATCCCTGATTATCTTTGGTGTAGATACACCCAAAATGCTGTTAGGGAGAGAATTTTGAACTAGCAACAATGGGAATATACTTCCACGTCAAGATTATGTGTGGTTTGGAGGGGACCTTGCAAGTGATGGTGTTCTATGTAATTGCTGGCCTTATCCTTTGTTTAAGGAGCATTGGTGAATTTCTGCAGTGCATCTTGCAAGCGGCAAACACTGTTGCTTCTTTGTGTGAGTGGTGGAATGCGTGAATGTTTGTGGATGTGGTACCAATCAAGCCATTTGTTTTGTTCTGGGTGGCGTCAAACCTCTTGAATACTGTTGGAGCTGCACTCATCCAGGCAAGTGAGGAGTATTCCAATGCATGCCTGACTTGTGCCTTGTCGATGTTGACTAGGGTGTGTGGAGTCAGGAGGTGAATTACTGGCTGCAGAATTCCTACCTTCTGACTTGCTGTTATTGCCACAGTATTTCTATAAGGTAAGGAGCAGGAGGTTTATAAGAGATTTGAGGGACATCTTTTTTTCATGGGCTATGGGCATATGGAACTCAGTGCCTGAAAGGGTGATAGATTTGGGTACCTTCAAGACATCTAAGAACCATTTAGATGACCACTTCAAATATCATAACGTCCGAGGCTATTGGCCAAATGCTGGATAATGGGATTAGAATAGATGGACGTTTGATGACTAGCATGGGCTGGATGGACCGAAGGACCTCTTTGCATGTTGTAGAAACTCTGACTGTATAGGCTAGTCCAGTTCAGTTTTTGATTAGTGATAGTTCCCAGGATGTTGATACGGGAGGGTTGGGATTCAGCAGTGGCAATGCCATTTAAGATCAAGGGTCAATAGGTCGATTCTGTCATTGGAGGTGGTCATTGCTTGGCACTTGTACGGTGTAAACGTTATTTGCCATTATCAGCCTAAACCTGGATATTGTCCAGATTTTGTTGCATTTGGACATAGACTGAGGAGTTGTAGATAGTGCTGAGCATTGTACAATTATCAGTGAAAATCTTCACACCAGAATTTATCATGGAGGGAAGGCTATTGATGAAGTTGCTGAAGATGCTACTCTGAGGAACTCCTGCAGAGATGTCCTGGAGCTGAGATTACTGACCTGCAACAACCACAACCATCTTCCTATGTGCCAAGTATGATTCCATCCAGCAGAGAGTTTTCCCTGATTCCCATTGATTCTATTTTTGCTGGGATTCCCTGAATGACTCACTTGGTCAAATATGCCCTTGAAGTCAAGGGCAGTCACTATCACCTCATCTTCAAGTTCAGCTGTTTTGTCCATGTTTGAACCAAGACTGTAATAAGGTCAGGAGCTGAGTGGCCCTGACATAACTAAAACTGTGTATTGTTGTGCAGGTTATTGCTAAGCAGGTGCTGTGTGATAACACTGTCAATGACCCCTTCTGTCACTTTGCTTATGATCGAGTTGTTTGATGAGATGTTAATTGCCCAGGTTGGATTTGACCTGGTTTTTGGACATGATATACCTTGGTAATTTTCCATATTGTTGAGTCGATGTCAGTGTTCCTGTTTTAGTGGAACAGCTTAGCAAGGGGTGCAGCAACTTCTAGAACACAAATCTTCAATACTACTGTCGGAATATTGCAGGTCCATAGCTTTTGCAAAATCCAGTACCTTCAGCCATTTCTTGATATCACGTGGAGAATTGAATTGGCTGAAGACTGGTATTTGCGATGCTGGGAACCTGCAGAGGAAGCCAAGATGAATTATCCACTTGGCACTTTGGCTGAAGACTGTTCCAAATGCTTAAACCTCATCTTTTGCAGAGAATCGCTTTACCACTGAAAGTTACGTGAGTTTCTTTAAGAGATAACAAGGTGTAGAGCTGGATGAACACAGCAGGCCAAGCCGCATCAGAGGAGCAGGAAGGCTGACGTTTCGAGCCGAGACCCTTCTTCAGTTCCTTTATCTTGTGCCTTACAATTCATGAATAATCACTAACCAGCCACTGTTTACTATATTAACTGAGTCATCTATGAATTGAACTGGAATTGCTCAGTATTTTCATTAGATTCATTGTGTAATTTGTAACCTTATTTCTAATGAATTTTTTTCTTATTTCAGTTAAAATTAGTTATAAAGAAGGGGAACAAGAGTGAAAATGTTTACATGGGTTAGTGTATACATATTAATTCCAACTTTTTTATTCCTTGAGCAATGATATATATTCACTAACATTTTATTTTTCTTTGTTTAGAGTTGACTTTACCACAGTTTTATAACTTCTTACATGAAATGGAACAAGCCAAGACTAGCCTTGAATGTTTCAGTTAAATTGCTGCATCATTATTCAGCAAGTTGTTTAACTTTGTTTAAAGTTCATTTTCTTCTTGTTCAAAAAGTCCATTTGTACATTCAAGTAAAAGAGATCACCATTATTTATAACTTTGAATTGTGCCCAGGAAGCACCTGTTGTCCTTATCAGTTATAAATGTTAGCATAGTTTAACAATTATGTAAATAAAATTATTCTGTGCGGAGTGTATACGTTAAGCCATTCTTTTTATTGCTTTGAAAGAGTTATACTCCTTTCTACATCTTCCCACATTACACATCGTGAGCTGAGAATGCCAATGATATGGAACTGTCATAAACACTCTGTCAGTGAAACACTTTATAAAGCTGATTTGCCTGCTTCCCCTCCCTGTAAAGAAACAGTTTGTCTCTACTTCAAGCTCTCTTTGATTGTAGAGTTGCAATTAGAATCTCTCTGTGAGGGAGATTTTCATCGTAAGTCTGAATTCAACTGTTCTCTAATGCATCATACTGAATACGAGAAAAAGTTTTATGTCTGATAACTACTGTGAAGGAAGAGTAGTCAATTTCCATACAACAAATGAGATGAATTATCATCTTGTCTGCTTTCAATGTAAGGTGAGCTAAGTGCTCTTTATAGCTTCCCTACACAGGCAATCAATTTAATATTTACCCCTAAGGCAATGCAATATTCTCTCACTACTGCACTGAAGCGAGGACAAGGTAGTGTCCTTCGTCCAACCATCTTCAGTTGCTTCATCAATGGCCTTCCCTCCATGATAAGGTCAGGGGTGGAGATTTTCACTGATGATTGCACAATGTTCAGTCCTATATGCAACTCCTGAGATACTGAAACAGTCTCTATCCAAATACAACAAAATCTGGACAATATCCAGGTTTGTGCTGTAGAAATCCTGTATTTCTATGTTCAAATCCTGAAGTGGGGCTTGAATCCACAATCTTCTGAGTTGAGTTGAAAATGCATCCAATCTAGCTAAGCTCACTGTTCTGCTATAATTTGGATTAAAAAGGATTAAATTGTTCAATGTCAACAGTGCAGAAAAGACTGCGAGAAAATCGGCAGGTAGTTTTACATAATTTCTTTTGCAATTGAACTCTTCTACTGAAGCTAAATTTGAAGTTTTAATTGGGTAATGTGGCTCAGAATGTCGCTAAAAGGAAGTGGAGTGAGACTACCTGTACCACAGGAGTAAAGCATGGGGTTCTCTGCAGTCTGTTATTGAAATCATTACTCTTTCAATTTAGATAATAATTTAGATGGAATCAAATACATTGTATTGTAAAGCAATTAAATTTTTAGATGATAACCAAATCAGAAAAGACAGTGAAATCAAAGGTAGTTCAAATTACAGAATGAATGACAAAATAAATGAGCAACGATATCAAATAAACTTAATAAAGCTAAGTACTATACATAGGAAGGTAAAATTATACCATGCATATTCTATCAATACTGTCAAAGTAGATTTAGAAGAAACTAGGACCAAAGAGATTTAACATAAAACACGTACTGCCAGTACAAAGAAGCAATCACAATTACCAAAATAGTGAAATACATTTTTGAAGTAATTGTTACTTGACAATTGCATCCATTTCTGGTCACCAAGGCACAAGACATTGATGCACTGGATACAATGCAGAGAAAAGCCACAGGGATGATCTCTAATTTCAAGGCTTTAATTAAGCAAGAAAAGTTGGAAAAATGTAGCACGTTTAGCATGGGGAGGAGCATCTGAGCTGATTTTATTGGAGGTGTATATGACAATTAAGGGATTGGTAAACATAAATCTGAAATAATACATAAAAGTAAAATGGGAGAAGGGGCATTAAAAAACACTGATAAGATTAGGGTGATTCCCAAGATATTGTATAAATACATCAAAGGGAAGAGGATAATCCAGTGAATGAGTACAGCCCATTAGGGAGCAAGAGGGCAATCTGTGCATGGAGCTGGAGGACATTGGTAGGGTATTAAACAAGTACTTCACATCTGTCTGTACTTGGGAGGAGGATGTAGGTACAGAATTTGGGAAGAGGGACTGAGGTTTATTAGCAGATTGACATCAGTGAGGAGGTATTCATAGGCTTAAAAGTGGAGAAATCCTCGGGTCGGAATGAGTTGTAACCCAGATGAGGGAGGAATTTACAGGTGTTCTGACCCAAACTTTTAACTCTTCTCTGGCCACGGGGGAGGTGACAAAAGACTGGAGGACAACTGGTGTGGTAGAGATAAACCAGGATATTACAGGCCAGTAAGTCTCTAATTGGTGATAGGGGAACTTTTAGAAAAAAATCAGAAAGACAGAATTCATTTCCACTTGGAGAGCCAAGGTTTCATCAGGGATAGTCAGCATAGCTTTGTCAGAGTGAGGTCACGCCTAACAAATTTGATTGAACTTTTTGAAGACATGACCAGATGTATAGATGAGGTAGTGCAGTTGATGTAGTTTATATAGATTTCAACGTGGCTATTGACAAGATCCTTCATGGAAGATTGATAAAGATAAAAGTACATGAGATCCAGGGTAACTTGGCAACTTAGATCTAAAACTGGCTTAGAGGCAGAAGACAGAGTGTGTTAGTAGAAGGCTGGGATACTGGTATCCAATGGTACACCACAGGGGTCACTGCTTGGTCCCTTATTGATTATGATTTATATAAATGATATAGATGACAATGCGGGGACAGTAGTGATGAGTATGTTTGCAGATGATTCAAAGATTGGTGAGCTGTCTGGAAATGAGAAGGAAGGTGTTAGGTTACAGGAAGGTAAAAAAAGATTGGTCAGATGAGCAGGTTAGTAGGTGATGGAACTTGGCCCTGAAAAGGGCTAAGTGATGCATTTTGAGTAGTTCCTTGTCTTGTTATTTCTTCAATCAATGGAAGGATACTAGGAAGCTCAGAGGGATCTTTTGGTGCTTATCCACAGACCCTTGAATGTGCAGGACAGGTTAAATAGGGTAGTTAAGGCAGATTGGACACTTGCCTTTATAAGTTGTAATATAGATTGCAATAGTAGAGAGGTTACGTTGAAGCTGTACAAAAGTTTAGTTAGGCCACAGCTGGAGTACTGTGTGCATTTCTGGTCACCATGCTATAGGAAGGATGTGATTATATTGGCGTGAGTGCAGAGGAGATTTGCTAGGATTTGCATGGGAAGAAATATTTTAGCTATGAAGAAAGGCTGGATAAGCTATGGTTGTTTTCTTGAGAGCAGGAAAGGCTGAGAGAGGACCTGTTTGAGGCGTTTAAGATGATGTGGGGTATGGATTAGGTGTATAGAATGCAGCTGCTTTCTTTAGTTGAAGGGTTAGTAACAAGGCGACATAATTTTAAGTGAAAGGCAGGAGGTTTAGAGGGCATTTGAGGAAGTCTTTTGCCCAGAGAGTGGTGGAATCTGAATGCACTGCCTGGGAAGGTAGTTGAGCTGGGAAGCCTCTCATCCATTAAAAACTACTCGGATGAGCACTTGAAAAATTATAACATTCAAGGATTGAGCCAAATGTTGGAAAGTGGGACTAAATGCAGACTTCCTGTGCCAAAGGACCTCTTCTGTACTGTGTGATTCTATGAGTATATAAGAGGAACTTGGTTCAAATTAGTAAGTATAAATTTAGGATTCAATCAGTAGATTCTTCACACAAAATGATCAACAAGTAGACATGCATACTGATTTTGTCAAGGATTTCTACATGCAAGTATGAGCCACTTCAAAGAGAAGTGTAGACAAGTTAGTTTTCTGTATCTACTCTTGTGATTTTCGAAGCACTTTATGTTAGCTGGGTGCAACTAATGCTAATATCTCATCTACCGTATTATGAGGGTGAGGCACACATTCATTAAATGTAAGCGCTCTTGCTAAATGTCAACCTATTACTCAAAGTTGATGCTCTGGCTGCTAATGTTATCTGTAGTAGAGTCCAAACTCAGCTTTCTAACTCAGGCATGAATACCTCTACAGAGTCAGTGAGAACCCTTGACTAATCAGTCATTGTTTTGAAAGCCCATTCTTGGCTCCAGTCACGTGCTTCATGGAATAGGGCTCAAAGCTTTCACCTTCTGACTTTGATGCAGAAATTCTATCACCAAGCCTAAGATACATGCTCTACAGAGAGGAGTGAAATCAAAAACTTGCAATTATTTAAGAAATAAAAGTAAAGTTGCTTTAGTCCTACTGGACTAAAGGACTGCCTCTCACTAGAGCAGCGTGTGGTTTAACCTGGTCATGACACCTCAGGTAAGGAGAGTCCTTCATGGTAACCTCAGCTGGTGTGGGAATTGAACCCTCACTGTTGGAATTAGTCAACAGCCATCCAGCTAATTGAGCTAACGAACCCTCCATGGATGCTTATTAGATAGACTTCAGAACGTTTTTGCTGGATAAATTTAAATAAGGTGCCTTCAGCTGTAACCATCTTGTTGAAAAATTAAATTCTCTACATATAAGAAAGGAAGAGTTGTATTTATACAGCATTTTTTCACAACTACCTGACATCTCAAAACATTTTAGTTAATTATGAACTTCTGATGTGTAGATGCTTTTGTACTGTCAGGAACACGAAAGCCAACTCCACACATAACAAACTCCCACAAACAGCAGTACAATAATCACCAGTTAACCTAATTTTTCTGATGTTGCTTTATTCTCTTTTTTTAATGGTATGTAGCATAGCTGGAATCCTAGAATCCCTACAGTGTGGAAACAGTCCCTTTGGCCCAACAAGTCCACGCCAACCCTCAGCATCCCACCCAGACCCATCCCCCTATAACCCAACTAAACTACACATCCCTGAACACTTTGGGCAATTTAGCATGGCCAGTTGACATAGCCTGCACA